CCAATCTTTGGATAGCTAAGTAAGAAAATTAATATATTATAGTAGTAACTAATCCCTCAGCTTTCATTTCTTCGAAAGTTGGGAACTTTTGATGGTGGGGTTGGGAAAATTTGGATTCCCTCCCCCCCTGGTATTTCTTTTCGCTACGGCCCTGGGTACACCTGCGACTTAAGAAAACCCCACAAGAAAAAGTCTTACGGGGTCAAATCGTACGATCTCGGTGGCCAGTTCACATCACCTCCATGCCCTCGAATCGCTCGTGCAGAATATCCAACGTGACATGAGGTGTGCGGCACGTAGCGTCATCCTGTAGAAGCCACATGTCGTTTATATCCAGATCATCCAATTTAGGCCAAAAAAAGTTGGTAATCATCGACCTATAATGCTCGCCGTTGACAGTGATAGCTAGGCCAACGTCATTATCAAAGAAATATGGACAGATGACGCAGCCAGTCCAAAATCCACCCAAACAGCCACTTTTTCGGGATGCATTAGCCTCTCTTGAATCCCATGTGGATTGGTATCTTTCAAATTCGACAATTTTGTTTGTTCACGTACCCATTTATCCAAAAATGGGTCTCATCGCTGTTTTCGGCAGATTCAGCGTTTCGTCAACGTACGGGTGTTGGTCGATCTGTTTAAAAAATCTGTTTTTCCGTTAATCAGCTGTCGCCCCCATACGGACGACAACTCTCAGAAGTTAAAAAACTTGTACGAGCTAAGGACTAATGAAGTCTTACCATTTGACGTGTGATTCCTAAAACGGTTGCAGAATCATCCCAGCTTCAACCAGATAAATTCTCTCGAGAAAAATATCTGGTCGAGGCGGGAATCGAACCCACGGCCTTCCGATCATGAGTCGGGCGCACTACTACCGCGGCCAATTCCACAACGTTTACTGAACCAGTTTACTGGACCAGTGGACTCAAATTTATCGACCACATTGCGAATAGTCCTCTCGGTAGGACGATAATGGCTACCGTGAAATGATAAAAGCGCGCGGTACGTTGCCCGAAGAGAATATCAATTTTTATAAAACAATTTCATTATTTGCATGTGTTGTTGAATGCTATATGAGTGATGAAAGATGTTTGGAACCGATAATAATTCCCAGATCTTTAAATTCAGTCATTAAGCACGACAAGTTTCGTTCTTATAAAAATATGTAAATTATTACAAAATATGTTTTAATCAACTAGGCTGAGATGATAAATTAAAGAAAAAGTACCTATCGTAGTACCCTAGACATGAAAAAAAACCAAAAGCAATACAGAATCTACGTAGATATATGAGAATAGAAAATAAACATACCACCCTCTCCAAAATCTTGCTCCTCTAGGATAGGAACTGATAACACTCCAGAACACAAAAGGATACAACAAAGGTATCTGAGTCCAGACATTTTAAAACTTTCGTACAGTAGAATTCAATCACGATATACTGCTATGAAATGAAGAAAAAACGGAGTGATTCACTTTATATGAATGTCCCCACTCAAGAGTGTTCTTTTTCCTGTTGTACTTGAACAAGAAAAATTCATCCAAATGGAGGTTATTGTTCTCACGTCATGATTTTGATTTAGCGAATTTAGATGAAAGAAATATATTTCAGCCTTCGACCTATCAATTCGGAAGTATATTTGCACTGCCCACGGGTTCATGTTTGCGAATGTATGCAGTGAAGTACATGTAGAAAATTTAAGGGGGATCGCTAAAAATAGGCCACAGGTAAATTGAAAACTCGTAAACGAGTTTACTCGTTATTTACCGCAAATTTACCGGTTATCACAAAAAAGTTGAAATGCAAATATAGCGTGTATACTGGTTTTTGCCTTAATCCACAAAGGTCAGCCATCTGTGTTTCCACAGTTCATGCAAAAATAATTGTATATACTTAGCTTTTCTTTCAAAATCATTGACGTTTCGGAAATTTTTGGTCAATTCGATTTCATAAACAGTTCTGTTCATAAAAGTACGTAGTTTGCTAGAAAAGCTACAAAGCTACAAAAAACGAAATATTACTCTTGTAGCTATGGGCTATCAAAATTCAAACAAAGTAAAAATCGTACACATATATCTTACAGAAATCAAATCGTTCACTATGAAAACATCCATCTTAGGGATCACATGGTTCACATCAGTGGCGTAGCGTGGATTTTCGCCGCTTGGGACCGACTGGAAATACGCCGCCCTTTGGTATTTATTATCATAGTAAAATGCCACCGGTAAACAGCTGTGTCATCCTGTTGGGCATCATCAGTACCGCAAGCAGGCAGTCCTCGATTGAAGACAAAATGTGGGTAACCAAGAAAAGTACTAGATAAAAATAACTGCGTAAACGCAAGCGAGACACAAGTAGAATCACCTATTGGTATGGCACCCAAGTTACCTTGCCAAGTTTTTATGTCGGCGTTGGTGGGTTGACCAATCTAAAACCGACAACTCCGATACCGGCCAGGCGGTTTTCGATTGAAGACAAAATGTGAATAACCAAAAAAAGTACTAGATAGAAATAACTGCGTAAACGCAAGCGAGACATAAGTGGAACCACCTATCGGTATGGCACCCAAGTTAGCTTGTCAAGTTTTTATGACGGTGTTGGTGGTTTGATCAATCTTCAAAACCGACAACTGCGTTAGCAGAAATTTGGGAAGCTCTCCTGGAATGCCATCGGAAAACGTCTACATGTTTCTAGAAATAATATAAAATTATGAATGGTTAAGATAGTCAAGCAGCTGGAAAATAATTCCATTTGAATCGAAAGACAAATAGATGAGTAGGTACTTTGTAATTTGATTTCAACTTAAGAGCCACCAGTAGACAGTTGTTTCGGCCTTTTGGGCATCATCAGTGCCGGGCAGGCGGTCGATTGAAGACAAAATGTGAAGAACCAAGACAAGTACTTGATAAAAAAAATAACTGCGTAAACGCTAGCGAGACATAAGTGTATTGAATTTTTTTCCATTTTGGAAACTCACAACCTTTTATCAATAAACTAGGTCATCATATCCTTGTATTCAGAGATTTGAACACCAATACCAATGACCAATAATGAACACTGGTTTTCGCAAGCAAATATCTAGAGATGACCTTTCTACAAGTCTCGAGCTGTTGTTTGTTGTTTTCCATAACAATATTTTTTCCAAGGCTTTTTTAAAAGTCGATCCTCACAACTAGCTTTCAATAGTTCCCTCTTTCTTTTTTTGTCAACAGGCGTTCTCTGATGTATAACTGAACGTCATCCAAGGTGATAACCAGGCCCGTACTGACCTCATCTGGGATCTTGGGCTAGGCTAGGAAAAGAGAAGCCTACAGAAGCCTATGAAATAGTTGAACTGAAAGTTCGATCATATGTCAAGCTTTCGCTCCCTATTTTTTCTCGATTAACGTGGCGTAGGGCTTTTGGGTTTTTTCCACATAGTCGTACGGTCAATAGGGAGTATTATTTTGTAGTTATGCGCCGATTGCGAGCAGCAATACGAAGAAAACGTCCGGTATTGTGGAAAAACAATGGCCTTTGCATTACGATAATGCATCTGCTCGCTAAGCATTGCTTGTTCGTAATTTTTTGGTCAAAAACAACACCGTAATCATGCCTCAGCCACCAAATTCACCAGATTTGGCACCCTGAGACTTTTTTCTGTTGCCGAGATTGAAAAGACCCATGAAAGCTCGGCGTTTTGCGACGATTGAGGAGATAAAAACCGAATCCCAGAGAAAGCTCAAGGATGCACCAAAAAGTGCTGGTACAAGTGTATTATATCTGAGGGGACAACTCTGAAGGTGACAAAATAGAAATTAATGAATAAATAAATATTTTTGAGAAACATTGAAATTCACCCTATTTTAAGAACTGACAGCGTACAATAGCCTGAGGAAGCTAACGTCCTGGGGATCGCACGTAAAAAGGTAAGACCTCGGAAATTCAAAGCTTGCACAAGTATTGACTTCTGAGAGTTGTCGTTCGTAGGGGGCGACAGCTGGTTGAAGAAATAGTAGGTAATTACAAAACTCAATTAGATAAATTATTAATTCTGTTCAAACAGGAAAATTTTGAAAAAACAATCACAAAACAATATTAATTCTACGAATTTCGCAGAACGCTATATATTCGAAAATTTTGACATTGTATTCTGGATAAAAATGACTATCGAAGCATTTAGATTCTTCTCCCTTGGCTCTAGTTCCCACCAGAAAGAGGGTTTGAGCGACATCTTTTATTTGGTACCCGAACTTTTCTAGAACAGCGACATAAATCGTTTCGACACTGTCTACTAGATGACGCCACAATCAATAATTATGAATACCTGAGATGAAGCTTGATGGAAGTATTGAATTACGTACACGTCATTTTTCAAACGGAATTTGAGCAATTGAATTGTTTGTTGAAACAAATACGAAAACATTAGATGGAGGATACTCATGTCAAAACGTTGTGTACTTTGTTATTAGGAAATGGCATAATCGTTATTTATTCAATAACCTTGAACACAGAGGTTGTCTAATATTAGTTGAAAATGACCTTCAAGTTACAGTGATTGAGTCGGTTGAAAATTTATAATTGAAGGCTTCAAATGCTATCAAAATAGCTCTAGTGACCACCAAATGGCACCGTATATAATTCTATTGACTGTCTAATACAGGTGCATACTTCAGTATCTAAATGTTCTAATAACATCGTTCGTTTTCGGGGATATTATTATAAATTTTCGATAATCTAGTATTGGTTCTAAACGTCTCTTCGACATTTTCAGTTCTTATCAACTGGGTGAAAATCTCCATGGAGGGAAAAACATTAAAAAGTGAAGAACATAGGATATTACTGAAGAAGGAAAATGGTTTTCTTTGGGAAAGTTACGAGGGCATAATGAGTGCGAACATGGGCAAAAAGTTAAATTGGTCAGCAAATGAAACCAAAGAGAGATGAAACATATTAAATCATAAACTAGAAAAAATTTGTCATCCAAAAAAATTATATCATTGTCATCAAATATAATTGTCTTATATCAGACACAACTATGACAGCAGAATGAATCTTTACACTGATATTAGGATAACCACATTGGTGAAAAACTACATGTACCTATAGTAGTACCTAGATTTACATTTTTTACTATATTTTGTCAGTAACTTTTTCAAAATCAAGTAAAAACGATGATAATGCCAACACCTGAAAAAACCTAATAGGTATGTAGGTATTCGAAATTTCGTTGAAAGGACCATATTTTCTGAATGAGTGGACCAATTTTTAAAACCCAGGCAGCAATGGATGGGGAAAGAAAAGTTTTCTCAGTGAGGTATCAGTTGACTCCTCTTTTATTCGAAAAAATTTGGAGGATGATATTCCTTAGAGGTTGAAAAGGTTCTGCCATCAAAACATGCCCCTTTGACACTTGACGTGTTTTTCAATTGTACAATTATCCCACTATGTTTAAAAACTGAAAAAAGAAACTAAATCACACGCCTCAAAGTATTGAAAAAAAGCTTCACAAGATGCAGCTCATGCTCCGATTGAAGGGAGTGTGAACCGGCTCCCTCACCCATTCACGGAGAGCGCGGAGTGTGCTACTCCCCCGCCGACTAAGCGTTGGCCTTTGCCGACACGATGGAACGTCAGTTTCAACTTAACGTTGACGACAATGACGACATTGATCGCGATATTCTGCTGAACGATCGGGTTCACCGTTTTCCCAGGGAATATGACGATGACAACATCCGCCCAGCTTCTGTGGAAGAGCTGAAGTGTTACATCAGGACCGCAAAGGCTAAGAAAGCTCCGGGAGTCGATTCAATAACAAATAAGTTGTTGAGGAGGCTCTCGAAAAACTGCGTTGAAAGCCTACTACAGATTATAAACAGTTTGTTGGCCCTCAGATACTTCCCCAGAAGGTGGAAGCATGTGATCGTCGTCATGATCCCAAAACAGGGCCAGAACCTGCTTTTCCCACAGAACTATCGCCCGATCAGTCTGCTCTAGTCGGCTGCTAAGCTGGCTGAAAGAGTCGTTCTGCAAAGACTCAACGAAGAAGTTGAGGACCGAAATGTTCTGCCTGAAGAACAATTTGGCTTCAGGAGAGAACACTCCACTGAGTTACAGGCTCTGAGGCTGGTCGAAAACACCATCCAAGAACTGAATACAAACAAAAAAGTGCATATTGTTTTGTTAGACATCTCGAAGGCTTCGACCGTGATGTGCTCTGAGATGTGCTCTTTTTCACGTTACACTTTCTCTACACCAGCGACCTCCCGAAGTTCAAGCGTGTGAAGCTGTCTCTCTACGCTGATGACACGGCTCTCCTCTCATCTTCCATGGGTCGGGAGCTCGGCGTCGTCTACATGCAACTTGCATTGAACGACCTCGAGCGCAGGTATCTCGAATGGAAGATCCGAGTGAACCCGGACAAGACTCAGGTGATAACCATGGGAAGACTGCTAACTTCTCCGGCCGGCCAGAAAAGTGGGAATCTCTGGAAGGGAGATCGACTGGCGGGTAAAGTACCCCGGTCTTCTAATAGACCGAGGGTCGGATAGCTAGTCTGAACCCTCTGATCAACAGACGATCAAAAATGAGCCTTAAGAATAAAGTTACGATCTACAACACGATGTTCAAGCATGTCATCGAGTGCTTCAGGCGTATGCGGACAAGCGGTTCCGTCTAACATCTCCATCCTGGAGAGATTACAAAATAAGTTGATACGGATTATTGTGAGTGCTCCGTGGTTCGTGCGTAATGAAGCCATCCGCAGAATTTTGCAGCTGCCTTCCATTCAGCAGTCCATTCAGTCGAGGAATCGGCAAGTCCTTGATTGCGCAGAAACCCACGATAATTCGTTAGTTAGGGAAGCTATAGATTATGCTGTAGACGACCCCTTCCGATATAGAAGGCCCCGACACTCTGTCGAAGGAGGCCCTCATTTTCCCCGTTAACGGATGAACAATTTTTTCATCCATACCACCCCCTCCCGGTAGGGGTACCCCGTGAAGGGCGGTACTGATGTCTGAAGACTTCATACCGCCAATATCCCCTCTGTCATGAACCCATTTGTCCTTCTTCGACAAAAATTAGCTAAAAGGGTAAGGTATCTGGGCTCCAAGCCGATTGAATTGACGACGCTTGGTTAGTGAGAGTATGAACCGACCTGCCACCATAATTTCACTCTCATAACCGTTAATTTTTCCTTTCCACGTTCCTATTTAGAACAAATTAACCTCCCATTTCAGCACTCTGCCTGCGAAAGATGTTAAAAGGCTAATTGAATGCAAAAACATATTGCCGATGTAAAATATAGGGCCAAAATTATTAGTGAAATTGAGTTTGCGAGCTTTTTAGTTAGCCGTTCATTCAATTACGAATTCCTTTTATGTTTGAATATTTCCCGTCTACATGTAACGTATAAATTCCATTATAAAATTACGTATCAGTTCACGGGGGGTGTTGATAAAGCTACTTTTGACACAAAGAACAAAGTAGACAGCTTTATCGACTCTGTTTTTGAAATGTCTCTTTCGTTAATGTACTCTCCCTGCTATAGAACCTTTGTTTCATTTTCCGATCAAGATGGTCTAGTCTGATCTTTAGGTTATCATCTTTGATATTTCTACAAAGAAAGCAGATGAGTTTGTACCCTTTTTTTTGGGTATTCTCTGTGGGTCGTGATGTAAACCGATTTTAATTATTTTTTTTTGAAATGTCAAGTACTAAAAGGTCTACCTTGGGACAAAATTTAAAATGTTTCTTTAAGTTTCAGGGCATACTACGATATTTTTTCTTTGTCGAAAATCGGGATTTTTTATTAGCAATTTTTTTATTGTCTTTCCCCCGTGAAATACATATTAGATAAGAGTCATACAAATCCATATATAACTACCGAATTTTGCAATCACTTGATACATGTCTGAAACAAAATTTCTTCAAATATAATAATAATTTCTACCTGCAAAACTCAGGTCTCCCTATGGGCTCACCATCGAGTCCCATTCTGGCAGACATTTTCATGGATACACTAGAAAACACCCGCATCCTCAATAACCCCCTTTCACAGAAACATATTGTGTTTTGGTTCAGATATGTTGATGATATATCTTTTCAGATTTGAATATTTCAAAATTTAATAATGGTTTTCAATTCAATATCTACTGTAAAAACACATTCACAGACTGTACAATTCCCTTTGACTCTTTCAGTCTGTCCTCACATAAGTTATCCGCGTTTAGGTTAATGATAAATAGAGCTTTCGCAATCCCTTTACCGGAAAAGAATTTCCAAGAGGAAACAAAAATAATTAAGCAAATTGCAGTGAACAATATAAGGTACCAATTTTCCTAATAGAAAAGTTAATATCAGGTAAAACTCACAAAACACTTATGAGTAAATTATACCCAAACTGCCGAGAACACAGTCGAGTACAGTAGCATCAATTACTCAAGTAAACTTTCAGAACATATTCAAAATTATTTGTCTAAATACAAAATATCAACAGCGTTCACAAGTAATAATAATTTAGGTAGAACCCTGTTTAATGCAAAATCCAAACGAGATGGAACGAAAAAATCAGGTATATATAGAATAGAGTGTGGCGAATGCTCTGCAGTATATAGAGGCCAAACCGGTAGAAATTTTGAAATAAGACTGCGAGAACACGTCTGTTTGGACAAAAAATCTGCAATGTACGAACATCTTCAAGAATCAAACCACAAGATAAATGAAGATAACCTCAAAATCCTATACATTTGCGATAAAGGGAAAAAATGAATTTGTTGGAGGCCATGGAAATTAACAAATCAATTAAAAACCAGAAACATATACCCCTAAACGAGCAACGCGATTTATGTAGGTCTCCTCTCTTGAATTCACGAGTTTAACAACCCGGATAATTTTCAGGGTGGAATTTTAAGTTGGCATCCAGATTCGCCCAACTACCTGTCTCTCAAATACCTGCCCTTGCAGCATACCTGAAAATTCTAATGAAACCGATATTTCAAAATTTCAGAAACGGTCGTATAAATAAAATCTACCAGAGGTATTTAGACAAAAGTGTTTTTATTCATTTCATTCAAGTGAAAATAGGAAACGCTTACTGGAAAATCCTGTATACAGGGTGTTCCTTAAACACATGCTAATATTTAAGGAGGTAATTCTTAGACCCATTTTAAGAAAAAAACTTCCTATGGA